CTTCCTGAATTAAATTTCACTAATCTGCATAACATATTATGCTTTCTGAATTACAATTGACCATTCTGAATTACAACTTATACTTTCTGAATTACATCTTGAACTTTCTGAATTACAATTGATAAAGGTGTAGCCCAAGAAAAGTTTTGACACGATTGTTGAAAAATTCAATTTGTTTATTCATGAGCAAGGAGTCAAGGGGCTACAACCCTCTTACCCTACCGAAGTTGCCCTGAGTATAACCAGCATCAGCCTCAACAAATCACATTAACAACTTTCAGAGAAGTTTTTCGTTCCGCTTCCGAACTAGGTTGCGTGAAATACGAGGCAAAGGCATCCACAAGAACTGTCCAGCGATATTCAAGTAAGCAGAAAAACGAGTTAATTTATTGTTGAAATAACTTCAAAGACGCAGTTCGGATAAAGATCAGTTCCTATATACAGGGTAAGTCATGAGAAACTGTACATACTCCTACCACGAATAGAGACACCTTTTTTATGATCTGGTTCCCACGAAAAGGGATATAGAGAACATCCTGAGAACCAAGGGAAATAAGGTGGGAATTTGTGTTCTTCATTTCGATGCTTTGTATTACTATCAGCAATAATCTTTCTTGGTAAAATCATGTGAGATCAATTGCTTGAAGTGCATCCCAAAAACTTGGTTTTTTGTTTCGGACTTATGATCTCTAAGGCACAGATTCGACCTGTCCTGGAATACTGTTCTCATTTTTGGAGTGCAGCACCTAAACATACCCTGAAACTGTTGGATTCTGTGCAAAAAAGGGCAATTCGTCTCGTGGGTGATGCCTCTCTCACAAATTCACTCACTTCTCTGGAACACCGTTGAAAAGTTGGCGATCTGGCTTTATTTTATAGATATTTCCATTGGCGATTCTCTTCTGAAATATCAACAATTGTTCCTCCCTTGGCAGTCCCCGCGAGATTAACCCATCGAGTTGAGGCTTCGCACCCCTTCGTGGTCACTTTGGAGACCTGCAGAACATCTCTTTCCAAAGACTCGTTCATTCAACGAACAGCGAGGCTCTGGAACACATTGTCAAGGAAGGTGTTTTCCAGAGGCATATGATCTCCAGAAGTTCAATTAGAACACCAATTCCTACCTTATTTCCCTTGGTTCTCGCGATGTTCTCTGAACATTACAGGATATCCCTTTTCGTGGGAACCAGAACATAAAAAAAACTTGCTTCTTGGAATTCCAGGAAGTTTTCCTCATCAAGACCGTTATGAACATGATAGTATGCATGTAGTATGAAATGGATATTTATATAACCAGATAGGAAACGCATCATTTTGTGTAACTATGTAATTTTGCGGGACGTGCGAAATTGCGTTTCCTAACTAAATAGTTACGTACAATATTTTTTTTATTTTAACGAAATATTTTACTTGAACAAGTGTGATGACCAGTTCTACGGATTATGTACAGAATTAAGTAGTCAAGTTTACATCGTCTGTCACTTTGAAGTATCCCTCAATAATATGGTACCAAGTCACTTTTCACGCGGACCAGGGATGCCAGTTCGATTTTTATCAGTGAATACAATCTCAAAAATTCAGATCTATATTATGCTATACGAATTCCAAGAAAGAATAATGATATAAACATATATGACGTCAAAACATTATGTTCTTTTAGTAAACAGAAAAGTAACATATTCCCAACAACATAGAAACAAACAAAACAAACATTTTCATGAAAAAATAATCATATTATCAATTCTCAATTCGAAGATACTTACAAATACAGTTACATAGGTACTTATTAGATATGAGTATATAAAAAACAGGAACGAATATAGTAAAAATGAACAACAAAAATACAAAACAAATAAATGAATTGAAGGTAAGAATCAAACTGTCTTAAGAGAGGTATATAAAGAATTGAATTTGATCCCAATCGGATAGAGTATTGTCCTTTTTACATATCATATCAGTAGTACCTATATGTATATATATTATTTATTTTGTATAATCAATATAAACAGAGCGTGCCAAAATAACATGCAATTTGTGAGTGTATGTGATTAACTGAAGCTCAATAATGATAAGAGTAAGTATAATAATAAATGAGTATCAAAATATTTTTCATTAGGTAATGAAATGTTTCAGATCACTAGATCAATATGCAAAACAGGAGATCTACTGAAAATTCAGTAGAACTGACAACCATGCAGCGGACGAAAAGGGTTTGCGGACGAAAAGTTAGATTTTGCGGACGAAAAGTACTAGCCTTCGGAACTAGTCGGTAGTTCCTTCGGAAACTAGAACGTAAAATGTGATTATTTTGTAGAAGTTGACATTTTTGCGGTCGGCTGAAGGAAGCTCTGGTATCAAGTGGATCACACTGTATACCCAAACGGAGCGCACATGTTTTTGAAAATTTGAATATTCAAATATGAATTTGTCAAACCATTCAGTACAACATAAACCTGCACTGTTTTCATATACAGCTATTATTACATTCTCAGTAGGTATCATATATTCTCTACTATAGCGGAATAACTTTCATAGGCGATTTCATTGTGATGTAGTATGCATTTTAGCAAAATCCCTAGCACAGAGGTAGTATAATGTATGTTATTTCAGTTGGGAAGTACCTAACAGTGGAAATAATAAGTTTCTGATAAAGGATCATAATATCATATAAGCTATGAACCTGGTCACTCTTGATGTAGACTGTATAGATAGGTAGGTACTTCGATATTCGCAATTCTCTACAAGGTTTCCATCAATCATCATATTCTGCTTATTCAGACTCATTATTATATCTCCCAATACCATCTGCTGAATCTATTATGCAAGAGTCCATAAATATATAGGGTGTCTCAAAATTAGCTTGCCAAACTGCACCAGCGACTTCTACGACAAAAAATAGGGAGAAAATTTTCAATGAACATGAGTCAAAAAATGTCTCCTGAGGGAGCTACGGTCCCCTGAAAAGTGGCTTCTGAAGATGATATTTTCGAAACGTCATGTGGAAAAATAATGCAATTTGATACAAGAACTATACTTTACCATGCCCAATGCTGTGAGAATGAAATCATTTCAAAATTTCATTCAGGAGTGTATTATATAGTGTGAGACTACACTGAATATCGCTCTAACTTTTTTGTATGCATGTTTCTCCATAATTTGATCTCGGATTATGAAAATCCACACCTATTTACTCAAAAAAAGGTCAGTATCGATCAGATTTATCATTTTCGAGTAAAACCGATTTAAAAATATAAATAAAAAATAATCTCAGATGTTATGCATAGCATATGGAAAAAAATTACAATAGTTGAAGTCGTTTTTTTTATTATTTTCCTATTTCGAGCCTTTCTATGAGATTGTTGAAAATAAGGTAGTTGATATTTTCATAGCCACTGTGATCCGAAAATTGGCAACGTTATGCATAAGATGTGAGTGAAACAATATTTTTAAATCGATTTCACTCGAAAATGATACATCTGATCGATACGAAACGAGAGCACTTTTTTTTATTGTAACGGAGTGGATTTTCATGATCCGACAATAAATTGTCGAAAAATATTAATACAAAAAGTTTTAGCACTATCTAATGTAGTCCCACCCTGTATGATACACCCATGCATGATATTTTGAAATGATTCTATTCTCAATTCATTGAACATGGCAGTTCTTGTACTGAAACGCATTATTTTATGACTGAATTTTGGCACCATGAAAGCTTATACAGGGGGGTTATGAATAAAAACAATTAATACTTCCAACTTCAACATCCTGTATCTCAAAAATGGAGCAAGTTAGGACACATGTTTATATGAACTTTATTTCCTTAAATATCACAAGGAATCTCCCCTTGAATTTTTCCGGTATTATTTAGATACACATTACTGTTCAGTGCATCTTCAATAAAATCGTTGTTTTGTGTCGAAGTAATATTTAGTTTGAATCATCATATGCCAATTTTTTCAGTTATATCTTTAGAATGAACCTAAATTTGGATGAGGAATGTCACTATTCCGAAAGATCTATACTTACGACTCATGTTGATGATTGTACAACTTCAGGATGTCTCCAGAACGTATCTGAAGGATGTACACATAGCAACATCCAAGATCACATGGGACTGCTTTGAAACACTCATGCAACTGGGAAAGGATAACAAAGTCACACTAATGTGGGTTCCAGGGCAGGAAGGAATCAAAGGAAATGAGGCAGCTGATCGCCTTGCAAAAAAGGTGCAGCATCTGCACTTTTTGGTCCTGAGCCTTTTTTGTGGGATAAGCAAATGTCACCAAAAAGACAAACTCAGAAAATGGGAAGAAATTGAAAAGCAACTCCAGGTCAACCACAAGCGAAAAGGTTCATCAACCATTGGCAGAACCGAGCCAAGGAGCTACTCAGCCTCAACAAACCAGAACTAAAGCTTATCACAGGCTTTCTCACAGGACACGGCCCTCTGAGGTACCACCTCAAAAAGATGGGCCTGGCGGAGACTGACACTTGCCGCTTTTGTAACAATGCGACCGAAACTGCGGAACACAGACTTTGCTCATGTGAAGTATTAGTCCGCCAAAGGCTGAACCACCAGGTCTATCTCACCCCTGCTGCGGTGGAAAATTCAACCGTCAGGAAAATTGTAGGCTTCATCAGAAGTCTAGGGTTAGAGGACCAAAACTAGATAAGGGTAATCACAATAGATCTTCTAGGTCGCAGTGATCGAGAGGTCTCCCAGCCTAAACGACCCATCTACAATCTACAATCTACTCATAGCAAATGACGGACATTCCTGGGATGTCCAGGAGATGTACTCGTGTTAGGGTTTCATTGTCAGTGCTAACTACATTATTTCCTCTTGTCAATTAGAGAATTGCCTTGACAAAATCCCGAGTGAACATATATAGATATAGTCGAAATATCGACAATAATTTTACATCACAAATCACCCTATACAAAGCGTTGTATCGGCTAACGGTCACTGTCGAATTGTTGGGTAAGAAAAATAATCATTACGTCACAGCAGGACGTGAGGGTGTTGACAATAATTGATCCGGTTCGACTTCCGTATCTATTTCAGGTCTAGGACTGCGGAATTGTCAAAACATCATAGTGATTTGAACAGCATGAGGTCCTTATACCTTTTCAACGATCCTAAAGGCTCTAGATGACCATTGAAATCGTCAAAGCATTGGCGTACTAGATATAAAACGGAATTACACCCATGAAATATGTAGGAAACTTAACAGAGACAAAAGTCAGAATTTGATCTTCTCATCCAACAGTAAAATTTAAAAAGGTGATAAAGTGAATCTACTAGGAATCACAATAGATGATAACCTGAACTGGCACAATCATATTGATGACTTATGTTACTTTCAAAGCATATATTTCTGCTTCGACAGTTGAGATCTATAGTAAGTTCTAAGATTTTCTTGACAGCATATTACGCATTTTTCAATTCGCATCTTAGGTATGGTATTGTTTCGTGGGGAAACTCTTCATCTTCTGATAGAGTTTTCAAGCTTCAAAAAAAAGCAGTTAGGATAATTGCTAATGCAGATTATATGGACACATGTCGTCCTATATTCAAAAATTTAGGAATACTGCCCCTTCCTACCTTATATTTTTACCATTGCCTTCTTGAAATCCATGAAAATAAAAATGAATTCGATAGAAATGCTCATTTCCATGATTACAGTACTCGAAATGCTGAACTCATCAGATCCTCAAGATATAGACTACATAAATCTGCATATAACTTTCCGAACACGGAATTGTATAATATCTTACCACAAACAGTCAAAAATCTTACAGGTCAAAAATTCAAACGATACATTGAAAATGAACTTTTAGCCAAATGTTACTATAATGATATTGAGTATATAACTAGCCCACCTGCTGCAATACCTTATTTTACATCTAAATGTTATAGTATTTTACATTTATATATTAGTGTTGTGATGTCTTTTTTTAATAACAATTTATTTACAATTTTTTTTCATTAGATTCATACATTATTGTATTGTATTGATGTATTGACTTGCTACAAATGTATGTATTTGCATAACGTAGTCAAATAAACGCTATCTATCTATCTATAAAATGGAATTACATTTTTCATGGGGATCGTTATTATTTTTTCTAACGGTATTTTTTTTTATATTCTACTTCCCACGAAAAGGGATATACTGTAATGTTCAGAGAACATCGTGAGAACCAAGGGAAATAAGGTAGGTATTGGTGTTCTTCTTAAATTTCTGGAGGTTATATGCCTCGAGGAACACCTCCATCGGCAATGTGCTCCAGAGCCTCGCTGTTCGATGGATGAACGAGTCTTTGGAAAGAGATGTTCTGCAAGTCTCCAAAGTGACCACGAAGGGGTGCGATGCCTCAACTCGACGGGTTAATCTCGCAGGGACTGCCAAGGGAGGAACAATTGTTGATATTTCAGAAGAGCATCGTCCATGAAAATATTTATGAAATAAAGCCAGATCGCCATCTTTTCTACGGTGTTCCAGAGAAGTGAGTGAGTTCGTGAGCGAGGCATCACCCACGAGACGAATTGCTTTTTTTGGACAGAATCCAACAGTTTCAGGGTTTGTTTGCATGGGTGCTGCACTTCAAATATGGAAACAGTATTCCAGGGCAGGTAGGATTTGTGCCTAATAGATCATAAGCAGCTGACTGGAAGTGAAATAGCTCCTAGCCCGAAACAGGAAACCAAGTTTTTGGGATGCACTTTTAGCAATTGATCTCACGTGATTTTCCCAAGAAAGTTTATTGCTGATAGTAATACCAAGCATCGAAATGGATGTCTTCAAAGGTATGGTTACTCCTGACAAGCTCATGTTGGGCACAGTGAGATCGGCTTTTCTAGAGGAAAGGCATGCTTGTGTTTTGTTTGCATTGAAATCTACCAAGTTATTGTATCTTCATTCGAGAATTGTTGCTAAGTCCATATTTATGGTGTCAACTTTTCTCCCTCGTTCGTTTCTGATTTGCCTGGCTGGTATTGAAGACCTGGAAGAGAAGGCGGTATGGAGGGTACTATCATCTGCGAAGCTGTGTACTGGACATAAAGTTGCTTCCAACAAATCGTTGATATGGAGTAAAAATAGTGTTTTTGCTAGATTGATGTGTTTGAAGAAATTATTATATAGGTGAAACAATAAGGATACCTCAGTGAAAACGAAAGGACATATTAGTACCTACAATATGAATAAAAAACATGAAAAATCGAAATATTTTAGATGAAACTTCACATATGGTGAGATGCTCACAAAAATGATCAATAATACATGTTTCGCTAACACATCAGTAGCTTTTGTGTCTGTGTCCCACAGCTGCTGTGTTGGCAAAGCATGTCGTGTTGGTGAGATTTTTTGTGGAAATCTATTGTTTGTGATGTTTTTTCACATTCACTATGAATTTTCATCAAGTAAGGGCCGAGTCAATTCAAAACGTTGATGCAGAAGAAAATGAATCCGCTTGTATTCTTCTGAAAGTGGAAAAAACTTTGCTCATTTCATTATGTGTCCTCAGAATTGTTGTTTTCTCCACTTAAGTTTCAAGCCTGAAGATGACTCTTCAGAGGTCGAAACATGTAGGAACAAGTTTTGTATTAAAATTGATATTCAGAGTAAGACTTACGTTTTTTTTAAAACGTCCAGATTAGTTTGGTTGGGTACCTGAATTTTTTGGGTACAACATTTCTCGTACGCCGCTGGTTTTTAGATAAATGTTGGGTAGAAGGAATGAGAATTCGTGGGTATTGAATGATGTTCTTACCCGAAGTTTCGAATTGTTGCAAGTTTCTCCGATGGAAAAGAATGTTTTTGGCCCAGAAGCATCAAAGAATTCGGAAATTGTGATTTAGATTGATGGCAGTGTTGATATAACCGTGTCTGAAAGCAGAGCTGTCATCTACAATAAATCGTTGTTGGACGAATTGAAAATCTAATCGAAAGTGTTTACAGACAATACAGAGTTGATCACGATGTCAGAACACAAGCAAAAAATAGAAGGAAATTGTATGTGATATATATATCATCAAACGATTCAAATGTCATCAGGTACCTGTGGATTCAGTATGTGTTTCTTGAATATTCTCAGGGTTGAGTTGAATCTTTTGGATAATATTCAACATCCTTCAATTTGCAAGTATCACAAGCGATATTACCTTCTTTTACAAGCGTGCGTGATTCACCCTATACCAGCACACAAGTTAGTTTGGGAAGTGTCATTTTCCCACACTAGTGCGGGAAGGACATTCATATAATATTCTCGCAAAATATGAGTGGTGGATGACACAAAATGAAGATTTCAGTTTCTTTTGTTGCAGTATTCAGTAAGTTTGTACAAAATCATATATTCAATGATTGCATTATTCATTGTTAAGAACTCACGGCGCAGGCAGGTCAATGCTGTCAATGAAGATCTTGCTGAAATCACAGCCTGGGGAACAAACAACCTAGTTGAATTCAACGCCACCAAAACTCAAGCCTGCATTTTCTCTAGGAAGGCGGAACTCAGTATGCCCGACATTGTAATGTCTGCCACCACCATCTCCACCAAACCCACCATATCTATGCTCGGTATTTCCATCAGCAACACTCTTTCATGGAATAATCATGTCAGATCCATCGCAAATGCTGCTTCACAAAAACTCGGATTCTTGGTCCGCGCGAAAAGCTACTTTACACCTCAACAGCTTCTCATGATCTACAAAGCGCAGATACGGCCTGTTCTAGAATACTGTTCCCACATATGGGGTTCAGCACCAAAACATACGCTGATGCTCTTAGATTCCATCCAGAGAAGAGCCATCCGTCTGGTGGGTGACGCCACACTCACTCACTCTTTGACATCATTGGAACACCGTAGAAAGGTCGGCGACCTTTCACTTTTCTATCGATACTTCCACGGGAAATGTTCTTCGGAAATCTCTGCTATCATCCCTTCACTAGCAATACCAATCAGACGAACTAGACAAGCCCAGTCAGCACATCCTTTCGTTGTCAACCTCGAAAGATGTCGAACAGCACTTTATCAAGACTCCTTCATCCATAGAACGGCTAGGCTTTGGAATTCATTGCCTGTGGAAGTATTCCCAACAACATATAATCTCCAAAAGTTCAAAAAAAATTCCAATACCTATCTCCTGTCCCTATCCTCCCTAGGAACGCACGATGTTCTTTGAACATTATAGGGATTCCCTTTCGTGCGCTCCAAGCGATAAAAAAATAATGAAGAAAATCCCCCTATACCCTCTAATTGATCTAATGTAGGAAGGAATTGTTGTCATATCAATCAAAGCACAAATTAGTTAGAGTAATTGCGATGAAAAACTTCCAGCTACAGATGCGATACATGTAAAAACTTCACAAACGATAAGATTTCCACAAAATTCTCAAACACACGACATGTCTCTCTAACACAGTAGCTTCGTCAGGTGATATACTGGTACAATGAACTAAACTAACGTTGGCTTGCTCAACTTTTATATATCTTACTTTCCCAACCTGAAGGATTAGTTACCTGTGAACAGGTACGATGAACCTCCATTTTCGGAAATTAGGCACAGTATCTACATCAGATTACGGTATACCGGATTAACTTGAAAGAGTTGATTTTTGAGTTTTTTGATTTCTAATGATTCAAAATGATTGAGTTTCAATCCTTTATTTTCTACGTGCAGAAATTCATCTTATGTTCATGAATGTGCTGATTCAGTTTTGATGATAATTTCGAAATTCTGCACGTAGAAAATAAAGGACTGAAACTCAATCATTTTGAATCATTAGAAATCAACAAACTCAAAAATTTTGACATTTTACTCAATGATCAATTAGACCTCTTTACACAAAATTAATAGCTTTTGTAGAGTGTACTCACTAGAATTTTCATCTCTTGTACTATCTCCTGGAATTTTAGATTTGTGAAGAGACCCACCTTGTAACAAGCATATAATTCCTGATTGGATTAATGATGCGATGAGCGAAAGCGAAGAGAATTGATTAATACTGAAAATTTTGGGATGCTAAATGGATCAAGGAGCTTTCATTTTGGTTTATCCATTAGTTTTA